GTGAAATCGAATAGGGGGCGCGGCTCTCTTTTGAGTATAGCTTTGAAGTATCTAGAGGAAGACAGTGGGCCCAGCTCAGTGCCATCGCTGCCAGGCCTTCGGACACGCGTCAACAAACTGCTTCAGGCCAGTGAAGTGTGTCCGCTGCAGAGAGAACCATATTGCCAGTCAATGCCCAAGGGGTAGAGACGAAGAACCGAGATGTGCCAACCGCGGTCAAAACCACACAGCCAACAATCGCCGATGCCCAGTCCTGAGGAGGATTGCAAGAAAACAAGGGATCACCCTACCGGGGCTACAACCGGAAGCCCCAAAAGGAGTCCTTCAGTGTCGCCCCAGAACTGTAGAGATACAAGAAGACGGTGGGCAACAGTGAGAGGGAGGGGAAGACAAGTACCCCCCCCCCCCCCCAACACCCCGCACCACAATCGCAACAGATTGAAACGCAGGAATCCCCTCCGAGTAGAGCAACTACCGGGGCGACTCTGCAGCCACCCGCCAATGATGCTACAGAAAGGCAACCAACAAAAAAGAGGAAGCGGGTGCGCAGCAAGCAGAGGAAGGAGCAGCCTCCTCAAGCTGTGGCTGTGACCTCTACCCCTACCCCAGCGGTAATGATGGCCTAGGCACAGGTTACCGAACAGAAGACCAATACGGTTAGAGCTCCAGGAAGGGCTCTATCAGAAAATAGAGCCCGCCCAACACAGAGAGCACGCTCTACCCAAAGGAGGATGGAAGCACCAATACCACACCCGAGACCAGTACCAACATACGAAAGAACACCTACAGCTGCCCCGGAAATGACAGATGCCATCCAAAGATTGGTTGGCATAGCAATTGAAGTGGGCAGCCAAGTCCTGGCGGACATTAGAGCCGGGACAGACCCAATAACCGCCATCATGAAGGCGTTGGCGCAGATAATCTTGTCCTACTCAGATGGCTAGTCTTTGTTGAGACAGGCAGCCTGAGACCGAAATCGGTCTGTACGACATTAATTATCATCATCATAATCAAAAGGTACTTCGTTATTATTGCGTTATGATAATGCAAGACCTCAACTGCTCGATATCGACCAACTGTTAGAAACCAAACGTCACTATCCGTTTTCGCCAGACCCTAACCCCAACCTTTATTTCCGAAATTTGAATGGCAGAAATGTATAGATTAGATAATAAGGGCTAACTAATTCGATCAATAAAGTATTTTTTCCATGTGAATAAAGATGTCCGAATTTTTCAATATAAAATAGCAATTTCATGCCGTAACCCATAAAATATTTATATAGGTACTAAAAATGTATATCACTGCTTAACCATAACCTGTTATAAAATCTTATAACAGCAGGTATGATTAGATTACATAATATGGGTTATTGCTTCGATTAAATAAATATATTTTTTCTCGGGAAAATTGTGCCTGAATTTTATACGATAATTTCATGCATAAACAGATTTTTTTAAATCTCGTGCACTGACCTCTACAAGTACGCGACAGTGATTTCGTGGCTTCCGATGAATGGCAGTATCTTATTTTAGCAGCTGTTGTGTAAAACATGATCAATATTAAAGAATTTTCGAAGTGCGAATGTTATTGAGCTAACGTTGCGAAATAACGTGGATACAACGGATAGTTTTATCCATCTACTTAAAGAGAGAATAAGGAGGGGTGCTTTTACATTCTTTAGGTGTTTATTTTCATTCTATTTGCTGATGCTTCTATCATTCACAAGCGGCATACCGTCAACTCTCTAATATATATATATATATACATACATATATATATATATATATATATATATATACATCGATATATATACTACTTACTAGATTTCGCATTCCGGACATTGACTATGTTCAACTGAACTGTACTACTATCCGTACTCTAAACTAATTATTGCGTAAATTGAAGATTTGTGAATTCCATAAGATAATTATTATTACATTTTATTTAGAAGTATGTTTGTTTAGATTAACGTAAGAGTATTTTATATTAAATTCTTATATTTATTTTATATTAATATCTTATTTTCTTTTAAACTAGCTGGCCAGGCAGACGTTGTTCTGCCCTCTCCGACGACCCTGTGTCCTATAAAAATTCTTAAATTCGTAATAAAAAATATTGAGGGTCACTTATAGGGATAAAAACTATCCTATCTCTCAAGTTGGACCAAACTGCATACGTTGTTCAAAATTTAATTGCAATCAGTTTAGTAGTTAGGAGTTCATCGCGGACAAACAATGTGACACGTAATTTTTATATATAAAGATTAGTCTTCGCGCATACGCGACTCTGCTATCTCCCGAAGACGTAGAGTGGGGCATAGGAATAGCTTCTCTAGTACTTAGTACATATAACTCATGGAAGTATATGTACTTCGTAATATAACTCAATGTATACATAAAATAATCTATGGTCAAAATGTATATTTTAAAAAATAACATTTATGAACGTTGTAACGTAGTTGGGAACTGTGCCGCAATCTAGTTATAATAGTAATTTCTGTAACAGCGCCATCTAGTAAAAATGCATTGTTATATTTTTCTTCCTATATTACTTTTTAAAAGCAAAAATTTTTCTTTGTAAAATTTTCTTTCCTCATCTAAACACTCAAAAATTCAAAATTAAGATGGTATTTAGTTTATTTACTAATCTGTAAATAAATTAGTATAATTTGATTTGCTTGCAACTATAGCAACTCACAATCCTCCTAATTTAAACTCCACAATAGGTGCACTATGCAATGTGAGTGGTTGCACAGAAGACACTAGTATTGAATGACGGCTAGGTTTTTTTAAAATTTGTGTCCGGATCATTAAGCAGAAATGGCAATGAGCCAGCGATATTTAACTGAGCAACATTCTTTGACAAAACAAGGTTCGATAATGGCGGTCTCTCTCCTAGCAAGCGTAGGGTTGGGCGACACCTGCACGAGATGGAATAATTTCTTGATAATGGACGCAGGAAGGGGAGGAATGCAGTTGGCTTAGTGGCGTACTTTGCGGCATTCTTTAGAGGACGCTGCTGAGCAGTGGAATTGTGATGGGTAGGATGATGATGTAGTTTTAAGGTCACTTTTTTATCAAATTACACCCGTTTACATACATTTTCCCACAGAACTGCTTATGAGAAAGAAATTCTTCTCTTGAGCTTGCTATGGAGGGTTTATTTCGCGAAGCTGCAGAGCTGTAATTAAAATTAAAAAAAAAAACAAGCAAAACTAGACAATGTGTGCCAAAGAGCCCCGAGGCTATATTAAAGTAAAGCCATTATCAATTGAGTGTTCCAAAAATTGTTGTAAGGTAAATTAAAAAAATCCTTTAGAGTAAAATCTCAAAGGTCAAATAAAACTAATTTAGTCAGTTGATAACGACGCCAAAATTATATTCCATGGCCGTAAAAAATTAACACAGTATCCTAAACCCCTCCTTAGTTAAGCCCAATTAAAATCACTGTTGTAACTTTTTAATTTTTATTTAAGCACAATTATGACAAACAATGACGCATGCAAATTTGTTTCTGCTCATCTACATAAAGGGCTCATTAATATTGTAAAATTCTAACATTTATTATAAAGCCCTTTCTTTACATTACAATTCATAAAAATATGTTACAATTTTATAAAACTATTTCGAAGCTTTTCTTTATTGTAAAATATCTTTGATGCCCTACACTAAGCTATAAAGTGAAATAACTATTAATGAATTAATAAAATAGCATTTTAATATCTATGATATAGAATATAGAGTAATAATATTATTTACCGATTCCTACCTTCACCAAAAGATTTAAACATAAAAAGCGAATTGTCAATTTCACAACTGACGAAAAAAAACTAACCTAGTTGCTGGTTAGAAATGGCGCTAATATTTGACACTTAAAATGACATCTAATTTCACCAGCACACAGAGAAAGGATATAAACTAAAAATAAAAGTAATGTTATAGACATTGTTGTGAAAAAGTGATCCGAGGAGTATAGTATATAGTGATTCTTCATTTCTTCTCGTCTTCCGGATATTTCCAGGCAGATTCGGGTGACGCCGTCGTCGGGGCCTTTGCACACATTGCTAGCGATATTGACGTGTCGAAAGGGTGAACGTTAAAATAAATTATTGCAAACTCTGTTAGTATACCAAATTAAACATTATAAAGTTAGTACGCTCACGCTCCCTTTTGACACATTTAATTAAATAAATAATACGCCCGCCGAGTACAACTGTGCCATTTTTTTACTTTTTTTATTTAAAACATACAGATTGTGTTGTGACATGTTAAGAAACCAAATATAGTTATAAGAACATATTTTGACAAAATATGCAAAGGAAATTTACAAATTACGGTAAAAAAACATACCTTATTTCTTTATTGGTCAAATATAGTTTGTCGAACTATCGTAGATTTAATTATCAAATATTTGATTGATTTGATCAACATAACCCTTATTCAAATACTACAATCAATTATATAACCAAAATGTATTCAAAAACCGAAAGGATTGTGCGATTAAAAGCAGTGAAAAGATTGTCAAGAATGTCTTCCTTATCACATGTTAATTTAACTATGCTATTCTTTAAAAAAATATTAAAATTAGTAAATAATTTTCAGTGTATTTAACGTTTAAAATCTGACATGTCGCAACATCAAACTGTATCTCAAACTCCACCCACAATAAAAAGTTACATCATTAATTTATTATCATCATATGATTATATTCTTTAATTATTATTAAAAAAATTATCAAAATTTGTGATGTATCATTAAAAAAGATAAATAAAAAAAAATATTTAGATTTAATCTACATTAGAGTTTATGGCAACATTTAAAACAAAAGTGAACAGAGTTTGAGTAACAATGGCCGGTGTGGTACGTAGAGTGCATAATTGTTCTAGACGCGCGTGTATGATATCAGTTAGCAACCGTACCTTGCCCGAGTCACTCGACTTGAGCGCCCGGGCGAGTTCCTCTTCTCCGACGCGACGGCGGTAAACAAAACAACACTTTGGTAACCAATAAGGCACTCGTATATTTCAAATTTGTTATTTGTTTCGTATAAAAAAATCTTTGGCGTTATACGGTTAAGGCGGTCGGCCGCTTGCTTCGCTTTCCGAAGTATGATTGCTTCAATTTAAATTTATTAAATCACACGATTTTTTTAAATATATATATATAGATACATTTTATATGTGGTAGAGCCACGCTGCAGCTATATTAAGGTTGTAGCACGAACGGGTCGGTTCGACCGGGGAAGGACCCCGCTCTCACAGAATACTAAAGTAAAATAGTAGCTTAATGCTGCTGTGTTTCGTTTAGTGAGTGTAGACAACCGGAGACCCTATTTACTGGAAATGAGGCATTAAATATTAGTCCTTAGGGGTGACAACTCATCTACATTTTGATTCTTAATCGAGGATAGATGTAGATGTCTATGGTTCGTAGCAACTACTTACCATCAGGTGGACTGTGCTCGCCCTTATAAAAAAAACACGATTAACGCGGCCGAATAAGATTCGATCGCTTCGGAAGGCGAAGCAATAACTACCCGCGCTCGCTTCGCTCCACTTCGGGTCTCGCACGCGTCACCCGAATCATTTCCACTGGAAATACCCGAATTTCCATTTCTTCCTGTGTCAAGCAAGCCCTTCCTTAATCTCTGTGCTCTGTGCTTCTTTAATTTCTGTCTGAGTATTCGATTCTTCTGAATTGAACATGTCAATTGATTTTGAGCTCTCCGCAGTTTCAGTGACATGTTCTTCTTGAGTGGCTGGAGGGTCAAAATTATTTTCAGCTGGTGGCACTATGGAGAAACTAGTGTCCACTGCGTCACTTGCATCGTAAAGGCCAGGAGTTCCAACTTCATTTTTTTCAGTAGTGGGTTCGCTGTCTTCTTGCTCTTTGAAACTTTCATTATTATCATTGCTATAACTAGCCTCTTCGTTAACACTTTCCTGTGGTTCCGGGGAAGTGTTTTTACCGTACGACTCATCTAACGACGTATCTTGCTGCCTGTCTCCTTCTTCCGTCATGTTATCTTCGTTATAATCGTCATTTTGTACATTTTGTTCATATTGACTAGTTTCTATCGTCTCTTGAGCGTCGTTACCAACGTCCTGGCTTTCCATTTCAGCTTTATCTTCTTGAACGTTTTCTTGTTCTTCACTTTGTACGTTTTCATCGGGAGCGCCCCAACGTGACTTCCTGTCCTTATCTCTTCTAGGAGTCCTCTCGTCTCGCGACTGCCTCGGTCTCTCATCAAAATTATTTCTCCTGTCATTTCTATCTCTAAATCTGTCTTCCCGTTCTCTACTTCTGCGTTCTTTTCTTCTGTCGTCCCATTCGTTTCTTCTGTCCCAATCGTGATCTCGTTCACTGTCTCCGTTCCAGCCTCTTTCATTAGACTGTTCCCTTTCTTCAAATCTTCTATTGCCTCTATCGAAGAATTCTGGGGGACCTTCGAATCTCGGACCATCGAAAGGCCTTTCACCGTCAAATTGCCTGGAGGGACCTTCAAACGGAGGTCGGGGTCCGTCGAAAGGTGGCCTCGGACCATCAAACGGCGGTCTGTTCATGTCGAAGGGCATGCGGTTGAAAGGAGGTCTCTCGAAGCGTGGGGGCCCGTCGAACATGGGCCCGCCATCGAATGGGGGTCTGTCGAAGGGCGGCCTGTTGAAGGGCGGAGGCCCCATTCCGTTGAATCGAGGCCCGAACGGAGGCCCCTGCATATCCATCCATGGCCCTGAAAAGATAAGCATTTGTACCGTTAGCGAATCCATTAGCCGGGACGTAGAATGCGATAGGTCGCAAGTCGTACCTCTTATAGGTGCTCCGAAGGGCAGCCCTCTCATTCTCATTTCTGGAAATTGAAAGTATTGATCTGTACTGACAGATTGGGTTCTACTCTAAATTTACTTTTTATTGATTGTTAAATTTTACTATTTTTTTCGTATAAGAACCGTCCACCTAGTGGAAAGTGAATAATGCAGTTCATGGACAACTGCAACCAACTTTGAAAAAACGAAGGACACAGCTTGTTATTGCCTATGACCATTTAAACAGCTTCTGCTTGAGAAATAGGTAAGATGGTGGCATCAAACCTTACAAGCTATTAGGCGGATACTATATGAACTATACCACTACCGTCTACTGTAGTCTGTATGGATATACTAAAATTTACGCTTGTGTTAACTTGTGACAATTTAACTTTCTAGAATAATTATAGTAATAACTTTAAAAGGCAATTCAGCTCTATTAAGTAAATATCCCACGAAGTCCCTTATTGTATACTTAAAGGAAAATAAATAATTTAATCTAAATTATATATTGCAGCAAGATTATAAAATACTGATTTTAGTTAAAAACTTTGTTACATTCATAGATAGTACATACAATAAGTTCAAGCAAATAGACAAATAGTAAAGTACAGACATTATAATTATACTTATTCCATTCGGGAATCAAATCCGTAGCCGGAAGCACAAAGACAAATACTTAAGATATTTTGGTTACCAAGGCTATTGAGTCATTCATTTCTGAAGCTATGAGTCACCCAGTCAATTGGGGCGTGTAGTCTATGAGTGAGGGACGCGATGGACCTCTCGACCCCGATAATGTGTAAACTATATCTATCTTGGGGAGTTTGTTTTTACACAGGGGAATAGTGAATAGTGGAGTAAGAATTAACACTACCGAGAGGCTTTAACACCTGCCGTTGTCTCTGAATTTGGCTGTGCTTTTTTGGTTGTTTTATATGTAAATTTGATTTATTAATATAAGTTTTGAACATAGCCTCTGTAACGAGGTAGGGAAAAGACAATTAATCGTGATTTCCCCGATTGACCACACCTTGAATAAAACTTGTTTTCTAAACTACTGACATAGGTCGGACAAATAAATATTATTTAAAGCTGAAGATGGTCTGGTATAATTATGATATCAGGATCTTAGTGTTAAGATAAAAAATTTAACAATTGAAATGTGACAAAATTGCAAAAATTAAAATAAAAAGGATAAGAAATCAGCTCAATGCTGTTATTTCGTATGGGGAGTGTAAAGAACCGGAGACCATTTTTACTGGAAATGAGGCATTCTAACTTAGTCTTTAGGGCTAACAACGCATCTGCATTTTGATTCTTAATTGAAGATGGATACAGAAGATAGACATCTACGTCTATGGGCCACAGCATTCACTTGCCATCAGCTAGACTGTGTGCTTCATTGTCACCCCTATTCTATAAAAAAAAGTATTTCACATTGTAACTGGAAAAATGACGGACGCTGACAAAATATTCCAAGGTCAAGTGTGAAGTGGAGGAGACTGGCAAAACGTCTGGGAAGAATTAAACTATGCAACCATGCGCACACTCATGCGTACATTTTGTTCTACAATATGTCTACCATTTACGGCTCCAAATTATTTTAAAGTAATCGGGTTCTGAAATTGAGAAGTTAAGGTTATCACTAAGTCATCATGTAAGAAAACTCACCGGGACGGAATGGTGGAGGTCCGAGTCGTGGCGGCCAGCCCGGAGGTCCCGGGGGCCCCACTATACCAGGCGGCATTCCAGCACCTGGCGGCATCCCAGCACCCGGCGGCATCCCGGCACCCGGCGGCATCCCGGCACCAGGTGGCATTACGGCACCCGGTGGCATTATGGCACCCGGAGGCATTCCGGCTCCCGGTCGCATTCCGGCTCCCGGTGGCATTCCGGCTCCCGGTAAGATGCCAGCACTCGATGGCCCCCCTTGGGGTCCACCGGTACCCATTGGTCCTCCAGCTACTGGTGGTCCTCCACTTCCCGGCCCTTCTTCAACCGATGGCGGCTCGCTTTCTGCAACTGCACACCCACCCACCCTTGTTATACATAAAATTAACAAAATAAAGAGATTACTGATTTTAAAATTTTGGTTAAATGGAGTCATGGCTTGAAGTGGAGGTGGCTCGGGACAGTGCTTTGTGGCTTTCCTTGAGGGAAGCCTACATTTGGCAGTGAACTTGTGAATGCTTGTAATGATGATGACGAAAGAGATTTCAGAACATCAAAAGAAGTAGCCGCACATGAAGTCTCAATATTTCTTTATCATCACGTAATAATCCAGACCCAGACATGACTAACATTGTAACATCTTCATCATCATCATCATCATCATTACAGCCTATCAAAGTCCACTGTCGTAAATAGGGCTCCCGCCTCATAAAGGGATATTTGCTATACTTGCCAAACATGGCAACTTTAGTTTATAGATTTCTAGGCGTTGTTAGGAAGACACTGATGCTCATCTCCTGGTTTGCTGTCTTCTGACGCCTCTTACTACACCGACAGGAAGCATAGGGTAGTCGATATTCTTAAATCGCCATTACACACACATAGTTATGGTCACAATTACAATAAGAAAACATTATTCTGTCAGTTGGAATATTTTTGAATTTAAAAAATATTTAAAAAAAATATATAAAAATTTACGTGGTAGAGCCATGTTGCAGCTATATTAGTAGTATAGTTGTAGCACGAACGGGTCGGCTCGACCGGGGAAGGACCACGCTCTCACAGAAAACCAGCGTAAAATAGCAGCTTAACGCTGCTGTGTTTCGTATGGTGAATGTAGAGAACCGGAGAACCTTTTTACTGGCAAAGAGGCATTCCATCTTAGTGCTCACGGGTGACAACACATCTGCATCTTGAGTTTTTATTGAGGATAGATGTGATATCTATGGGTCACAGTAACAACTTGCCATCAGGTGGACTGTGCTCGTTTATCACCCTATCCTATATAAAAAAAAATATTAAAAATGGTTACTGTTTATGAGACAGACACCTGAAGGTTCAATGAAACATTAATTTTCATAAATTCATTGGCTTAATTTTATTTGAAATTATATGATCATGTCAACTTTAGTTGGATTTTACACCTAAAAATTGTTTGAACTACTACTACTGTCCTTTTACAGATTAGGCTTTGCCCAGAAAAAGTTTTAAGTTTGATTTATGATAATTCTCCTTCAACCCCTATTATCTCTATTTATTGATTTTTTCCATTTTTCTTAGCGATAATTTGGAGATACAATGGAGGTCATCAATATTGAAGCACTTTCGGAAAAATGTAAAATAAACTTATACACTTATTATTCAAATGATGCTTCTGCGCTTTTAATCGATATTTGATCTAACAAAACTAAACTATAATACAAAAATTCGAATTTTCAATGGCTTTATTTGGGCGACGTCATATCATACTGCCAAATTTCAATTTTCTACGTCTCGGAAATAGCTTTGTGCCAAACAAATACTGGAGGGATTTCATGAGTGTTTCATATAGTTAGTTTTTGTACAGAACACAAAAAGTATAGTCGAATTGACAATCTCCTTCTTTGAATTCGGTTAAAAAGACTGTCTTACCACCCAGTGTAACGAGTGAATGTATGAAAGAAAAAAAGGAGTGAATGTATGAAAGCACTGTATCTGACCGTTGTCGTCGTGCGCAGGCGCATCGTTGTGATCTCGAGGGTCGCGGGATTCACGTGCGTCACGTGAGTCACGTGGGTCTCGTGTGTCACGAGGGTCCCGTGATTCACGCGAGTCTCGTGAGTCACGCGACTCACGCGTATCACGTGTATCCCGATTGGAGCGTGCTTCAGAGGCCCCGTTGGCCATTTCCCACAGTCTCTCCTGCAAGCTTTTCTCGCCTTCCATGCCACTAACACTGCCACCGCTGCCTCGTGGGGATTTCTCCCTGCTACGGTCCCTGCAACAATTTTGCCAGTATTAACCACTAAACACATTCTTAATTATTTAATTAAATTTAAATGAAAATTGACCAAAAGACCCAAATGAATTGTCTGCCCTGAGGCCTAGAATAAATTGCTTCGCAAACTTTTATTACACTCTGCAAATCGAAAAACAACATTAATTGACCCACTACTGCTAGGAGAGAGACTTTAGGGCCAATAGCGCTATATCCATATTAGCAAAAAAGTTGTACTTCTCTTTCTAAATTACTGAAAACCGAATAGAAACTATAAACATTCAAAAGATATTTATAATGTATTTAATTCTAAGTACGTTCATAAAGTTGCAATGTAACTACTTTACTTTAGTTACAGTCCTAAAGTTACTCACAGTATATAATAACATATAACATGGAATGAAGTATTAATTTTATATTTTAATATAAATAAATAAAAAATCAAATCAACCCTGATTTTGCAATGAAAACAAATATTTTTGTTAATTATATTCGAACAATAAATTTCAAAGCTCCTATGGAGTTTGAAGGCACATTAGCATTACAAGAAAAGACAATAATATTAATAATTGTACTGTAATAATAAAACCTAAATGAAAAATATTTGTAGGTATGTTATGAAAATTGGCACAAATTTAAAATTAATGTTACTGCTGAGAAAACTATTGAACATCTGTTATTTCTAAAAAAAAGCTGGCCGACTTAAAAACCTAACAGTACATCTATAAATAAAACTAATTTTACGGATTTTATCGCGTATATTAACTTATTTTTATATTCCCGACGTTTCGGGTGCTTTCCAGCACCCGTGGTCACGGAGGACTGAGGTGTTTGACGACCTGCTGTCATAGTTAGGCCGGCTACCTTCAGTTTGTTAATATTAATTTACGCGATAGTTAATATACGCGATAAAATCCGTAAAATTAGTTTTATTTAAAAATGTGTAGTGTTCGCGTAAATATAAGAAATCAGTACATCTATAATCTAAAAATTAATCGCTGAATGTTTTGCTAAGCGCAAATCTCCAGAGCAGCTAAACCGATTTCGCTAATTCTTTTTTTATAATATTCTTTGAAGTACGGTGATGGTTCTTACGGAGAGAAAAATTTAAAAAATTGCCTGACAAAGTCTAAAAACAACACTTTTCTATATTCCCATACAAAAGATTCATAATAATACTTAAAAGTCAATTTGAACTTTAATATCATACCATAAAGTTTAAGTGTTAGTGGAGGGGTTCCAGTAAAGCAAAACAAGTGAGTGACGTTAGTATCGTATAAATATTAATGTCAATATTTGTCAATAGTGTTTTATAATTTTTATTTTTTGAAATAATGTAATTGTTGACTTATCAACTTTTTTTTTCTTTTTTTATCTTACGTTTAAAGTTTAAAAAAAAAATTAAAGAATCGACTGTTAAACGGTACAAAGTTCGCCGGGTCAGCTAGTAAGTTATGAAATTACTATAACGACTTACGATTATGTCAATATTTAAAATCATATAATTATTACGTATAGAATACTAGTACGCTTACCAAAAGTGAAGCAAGTAAAACTAACGCGAAACCGCGTAAGTTCACTCAGCGACGGGTCAGTGCGCAACGTCATGTCTTACGGAGAAGAACTCGTGGAAAATTGTAAAAAAATTACCTTTTGTGTTGTAAAATATTGTCACAACAAAGATGATAAACATAAAAAGTTATGATATTACATTTTACATATAAGTTCCTATATATAATTCATTATATGTACGTAAAACTAAAAAAATACTTACCTAAGCTATCATAATACAAATGTTGCTAGTTGTGGGGAAAAAATCGCCTTTACTAACCAGATGTCACTGTACACCCAAACATTAACCAGATGTCACTTTACACCCAAACATAGTCTATTTTTAACCGACTCCCAAAAAGAAAATGTTATCAATTATGTATTTACACTGATTTCTAAGACGATTCTAGATCAATTCGTACATACATGCTAAAATTTTAGTGGTTGTTTTCCCGCATCCAAATTATACTGTCTCGATAGTAGAGTCAATTTATTAAAATAAAAAATATTACAATTAAAAAGGGCAGATTTACAATAGTAATACCTCACGAGCTAGTCGGAAGTCCAGACTAGTTTATGTTGTATCACTACACTTGAGAGTTCATGCTCTGAACATTTATTAGTGGCCCTTCATTGTGCAGGCAGCGCGGTAGCGCGTGCGATAGACGTAACGCTGCGTTACGTCCAGCGAATTTTTTTTTCAGACTTTATTATAGTAATACGGCATAAGCTAGCCTGCACACCCGACCAACTTGCGAGTTTGGCTTGAGATTGCATTCGAGTTTTGTTTTTCTCGATTGTAAATCTGCCACTTTTTCATCCTAATAATTTTTATTCTAATAAATCTATTGTACTAGCAAGACAAAATCATCCGACTTCAGGAAAACAACCATTAAAATTTCAGCGTGTATATTGTATCAATCTGTGTGTATATCCTTTCAAATAAAAAAAATCTAAATCGGTTTAGAAATTATAGAATTCTAAGGTAAAAAATACACCGAATTGAGAACCTCCTCCTTTTTTCAAGTCGGTTAAAATTAAACATTACACGATGTGCTTATTGTATTCGAGCAAATTAATTGTGTTTAGTAATATTCTTAAATTTTTATACATCTCCATTATTGTACCATTAAAATATGTATAATAAAGTTGTATTAGTACCATCATTATCGTGTTTATTTTATTCCATTTTATATTCCATATTATGATTCTCATAAAATATGTCTTCGTACGTACGTAATCTTTATTATATCGATTATTTAAAATTAATTAATAAAACAGTGATTTGAACAATTTGATTGAAAACGTCAGAAACTGGTATCATTGAATGGCGTTTCTGTGTGCGTGTGACGAGCGTAGGCACATTCAATTCGCACCCACTAACATAATGACCTTGCGTCACATTAACGCTCGTGTTTTGTACTAGACTGCGTTTCTAGTG